CGTTGAGGACGTCTTGGATCTTGATACCTATCATGACCCAGTGGACTATCAACCGACGGTAAAACCGAAAAGTTAGGGTCCCCGAAACAACAAACTTCTTTGGTTGCCAAATCCAAGCCAAAGAAAACCAGGATAAAAGCGCCGTGGACACCAAGTCGATAAGCACCGACACCTCATGAACATCGACGGAGTCGAATCATCGGCCGACAACGCAATCTGAAAGCTTTGGTGCACGACACCAAAAGACCCCGAAATCGCTAAATTTAAGCCGAAAAATGCAAAGACGAATAAGTCGATGGACACCAAGTCGGTGGGCCCTGCCCAATCAGGGCCACCAGCCTGGTCGGACGATGCTGTGATAATCGCCTACCACCGACGCATGCTGGACACCCTCTTGGCAAGCTACCCCATCTCGAAAACCCTGGATATCCAGCTGCTTGGACAGCTACGGGGACCGGTGTCACCCCTGCCGTGCCTCCGGAAGGCCACAGAGGCGGTCAATGCGCTGGTAACCCTCCTCGACAAGGCAAATATGGATGCGTAAAGGTTCGAACCAAGCGCTTGCTCGACCTAGGGTTCAACAGCATCAAAAGCATGTTGGAGAAGTTGCACAAGCGATTAGCGATTGTGTTTGGATTCACCACCAGACACAACAACTTACAACCAGCGCAGCCAATGCCAACGCCGTCTCTAGACAGCCAGATGACTCTCCAAAAATTCAAAGCCCAATCCCAAGCACGACCACAGCTCGACAATTCGAGGGCGATGCGCCGTCCCCCATCACCGAATCTCCCTCCAAGGATCCAAGACGCGGTGAGCGGTCGTCACATGGCTCGTCTGCTCTTGCCCAGTACGACTGGATGCCACAGAGACCGGCAGAGGAAGCGATGCTCCAGGCTTGTGCGAGGGGCGGAGCAACCAATCTGTGTGATCACGAAACGGCGACACGTGTCCACTTAAACATCCTAGCGCCTGACAGTTTTTTCCACCCAATGGGAGTACAGCACGGTCGTTAACGAAACTCTGCACCACCACGTGACGAAGATGCTGGGGGGGCGCTCACCAACACGTTCAGTAAATTGTAGACATGATTCGACGCGTCAATCGCACGATTTCTACAGGAACGCCAGGTACGACATGAATACTAAGATCGAAGGGCGACCGCAGAGGCACAAAGGGCGAAAAAACAAAGGTTAAACAAGCACTGAGAATCCAAGCGCATGCTTCGAGACAACGTACTATGACTGACTTGGAGATGGAATCAGTCGGTACGTGCGAGTACAACCCAGACGACATGGACTAGGAGGGACCACTGGCGAGGATGGCGACAGCTACAGTAGGAAAAATGCCCAACATGGTGCTCGAATTAAAATTGCTGCGACATCGGACCCCAAGCATTTTCACGGAAGAGATCAAGACGAGGACCGAGCATGCAGTTGGGTGACCACGGTGAAAACCGCGTTCACGAGAGATCAAGCGCCCGACGATGGAAAGAGTCTTGTCTTCGATGGATTGCTAACTGGACCAGCTCAGAACTGGCATCGCCAACCGTGTCGCTTGGTGAGATTAAGCTGGAAAGATCTCTAACAAGAGTTCCAGATGTAGTTCTGCGGTTTAGGATGGCCACTTGCTTGCCAATACTACTATGCGAAGAAGAGGTCAGATGAGTCACCCTTGGATAACCTGTAACGACTTAATGCGATTGGACTCGGGGCGAAGATCAAGATCAAGAAAGATTTGCCCAAGATACAAAACGAACATGACGAGCACTACATCGAGACTTTAGACGACCCGAGACTGGCGGACCAGCTCAGGGTATTGAATCTGGTGGATGTGGACGAATTGAAAGACGTGCTGAGAGCCTGGCAGAGGACGAAAGCGCGGTGATGCAAGATACTCTTAGGATCAATCAAGTTTCGACAAAAGGCACTTGTACCACCTGACCGACCAAGAGAAGTAATCTCCGGTCAATACATGCAGTACGGGCGACCATGGAAAAGTCGAGTTATGACGATTTCAGCTAGGAAGGCTCAAGTGAAGTAGGTGACCCAAGGCCAATTTACTTGATGGCGATGGAAGGACAGAGGGAAACAGGTGCGAAGATCCCAAGAGGCCAATCATTCGGTAGGCAGACCAACACCGTCACCATGAAGGTAAACAGGGATCTTGCCCGACGTCTTCCGCTCAATACCAGAAGTGCGCTCACTGTGGATCTCAAAAGCATGGAGATTTGGATTGCTGGGGACGACTTACTTGTAACCACTCTCGTAAAAGGAGTGACCCAACGGATCGTTGTTTGTGCAAGGGTGTGGAGAGGCCCACGAGGTTGAAAAGTGCCGGATGGAAGAGTATTATAACTTGATCCGCCTATGGTACAACCCGACCAAGCACGCCGGGGTGTTGCTGGAGAAGGCGGAGAAGATGATAATCAGAACCTTCGCCAGGTTTATAATTGGTACGAGTCGAGCATTTTAATTGTCATGTCTTTCCAATTGTGGAAAAGAGCTTCGAAGAAGATACAGGTACTACAGGGGAAAATATTTTAAGGAATCTACCGCAATTAAGAAGATTGGGAATATATATAAGACTGGGAGCTACCCTGTGCTTCATGTTGCTCGCCTTAATAACCCACATGTCTTTGCTCGAGGGCATGCAGTGATAAAATTGGAACTACTACAAGGCGAATATAGGGGCTTTTGAAAAATCATGCCCCTCCGAGAAGGGCTAAAAGGACAAAGCCTCTGGAAAGACAATAATGATTATGCAAACTTGTAGTTTTGATACTGGTGCCGAGATACCCGTTTTGGATACCGCCTTTGCTCGTAAGATAGCTTGCCGGATTGACGAAAGTGCAAGACAAGTGTGTGTAGGTATTGGGGAATCATCGTATACCACAAAATGTCTCATTCGTATTGGAATCACTCGTAACGAAAACTTTGTGCATATCTTTAAGGTACGGGTCGGGTCGAAAAAAAGCCTGTGGGAAGTAGTCAAAGGAAATCTTTACCAATCGCCTTGATCACCTCGTAAGTGCACGTAGGACCGGTCATGCCGGTCTTGGGACTGACCGCTACAGAAATCCCCAACGATAAGCTGGACGGTTTGCAAGTCATCAGTGGCGGTCACAGATTATGACCACCGGTTAGGGTAACGACGAATGACTGACCGGTCATGGTCTCGACGAATGACTGACCGGTCAAGGTCACGATGGGTGACCAGTGGTCACGGTCACGATGGGTGACCAGTGGTCATGGTCACGATGGGTGACCAGTGGTCATGGCCACTGCAAGATGACCAGCGGTCATGTTGGCAGTTAAGGTGGTTTACTTCAAGCACAGGGAATGGGTGGTGGCATGCGAACAACGTAGCAGAAAACTGAGATAAATAGAAGTGTAAACATAGTTCTAGCCCATAATAGGTTAATAACGCTAGTGTTGATTTTCCCACTAAAGACACGCGTCAGCATTCCTCCGGGCTGGAATACTAGTAGCCACCCGACGTACAAGGTTTACTGTCTACGTGTTTGCTCAAGGTTTGTCCCTAGATTGATTGGCTAGGACAAGTATACTCATTCAAGTTAGCCCGCGATCGGACGCGGCAAGCATACAAGGCAAGGTCTTTAGACAGCTCAAGTGATCAGGAGGACAAGGTGACCAAGTGGTCAGAAGAACAAGGGGATCAAGTATCCACATTTGGACAAGGCGACCTCAAGGAAGGTCAGGCAACTCTAGGAGAGTGCCAACCGTAACCGCTGGTCGTGTGAAGAATTACCACGCGACCCCACCCCACCTATCCTTTACTCGGTCAAGGCACGACATCGACCTCAAGACACCTAGAAGAGTGCAACCGCCCGCCGAAGGGTACACAAGGTGAGAAGCAACAAAACAAGACAAGACACACGGTCCGGAGTACCCCCTCCATTAGTCGGTCGTCCGGGCGCGAGTGGGGAGTCAGGATCGCTACGTAAATAATCGAATCTCACTCCACCACAATGGTGCGCGTGCCCGGATCTTCTGGTGCCTTGGGATTTCACCTTGAATCCCAGAGCGACGATGTCAAGGTCAAGATTGAAACAAGAATGGAAGTGTCGGCGAAGAAGGGATCGTCGCAGACACGTGATTATCAAGGACCCTCGGTTTGGCAGAGTTTTGGGAGGGACTCGAGCGAATCAAAATTCAAAGAGGAAGATCGCCAAAATGATCTCGAAGAAGAAAAACCTCTTTTCCCTCCTGAGGTCCCTTCGGGGACCACCGCGAATCGTACTGCAAAGTACGACCCGCTAGATGAAACACGTCCAGCCAAAGCAGGACACGTTTTGTCTAAAAGCCAAACCATACACAAAAAAATTAAAAAAAAATCGAAGGCTAAGCTCCCAAGCTACGCGCGCCTGACTCCGAGGGTGATGATCAAGAAATAATCAGGGCAGCAGAGGTCAATATGAAAGGTTAGATGATCGATCAGCTGCAACGTCGTTTGCACTGTACCCAGCTTCAAGCGTTGCTATCAACGGACCCAGTGCTGACCAGCTTGAAACCGGAGCTGATCGGACCGCTTCGGAGACCGACATCTACTCAACAAGCAGCCACTAGCAAAATGGAAGCAGTGCAACGTCTCATTCAACTGCTACAAGGCGCAGAATTTGTGTTGAGGGCGTTTGACGCGCAGTTTTGCTTGACTGCGACTTGGATCAAGTGATCACAGCCAGCCGATCACTGTTCAAAACGCTGGTCCCACTGAACGGCAACTATGGATCCGCTGATCGCGAGCTCTCGACCAGTATCATGGTCAAAAAGGAAGACTGTTTATCAGCGACGTTGTCACATTACGGAATATAGCGACGGCTTGGAAATAAAGCGAACGTTGTTAAAACCTTCCGGTGCAGCACTTTTACGTGACCACCACGAGCATCCGACTCCAACCACCGGACCGTTGAGACTAACCACAGAGCCTGCCGATGCTACGGATGAACCCGACCAAATGCAAATCTACTTTGAAAGGCCATGGAAAAGTTCATGCGAGACCTACAGCGACGGCCGCCACGTTCTGAGCCGACCAGTCGCCCCAACCCCAACCACAAGGTGTTTGGGGTAGGTATGCCAGAAGCGGACATGGAATCGAATGACTCGCATGGTAGTCGCGGTAACACCTTTGACCCTGACGACCTCGACATTGACGGCGTCCGTTGGCCTCACTTGGCTACTACGGAAGCCATTATGGGAGAAGAATTTGCTGCGCAACGGATTCGCATGCCTGCGTTCGCCGAATTAAAGGATTTATCAGGCCGCGATCACGATGATAACCGCGCTCGAAGCTGGGTGCAAAAGGTCAAATCAGCTTTCTTGCGTGACCAAGCCCCCGATTCGGATAAATGCTTGGTTTGGAGACTCGCTAACAGGCCCAGCACGAAACTGGTACTCCCAACTAAGCCTATCGACACACAATAAGTGGAAGACTTGCTGGAGAGTTTTCCACTACAATACTGTGTACGCGGCATCTCTGATGGTCGCCAGTATTACACGCCTGCCAGCGTGCCGATGAAACTCCGCTAGAATACCTCTATCGGTTGGACGACGGTATACGCCTGCCAGCGTGCCGATGAAACTCCGCTAGAATACCTCTATCGGTTGAACGTTGCTGGGATGCGAGCGAAAATTCACGTGAAGAACGGGAACGTCGCCGACCGCCGAGAACACAAGGAACACTATATCGAGACTCTGGATGACCACGATATCGCAAAGCAATTGACCTTGCTGCGTTTGAACGACGTGGATACGCTGGATTTAACGCTGCACACATATGAACGTATGTAAAAGAGCAAAGGCAATCTCCTGATCAGTTCAGGCAAGTTCCGCTCACGATCAGCGTCACCATACTCTTCGAGCTCATCCAAACCGGCTCGAGCTGCGCGTGCAATCCACGTGGGGGGCGAGAGCAGTTCGTCGGAATCAGATATAAGCAGTGCAGAATCAGAAGAAGAACAACGACGTGTTTACAGCGCCACAGCAGCCGACCATACGAAGGACCGGGGAAGTGATCGTCCGAACAAGCCAAGATCGAATGACCGTGAACGTGATAACGATAGTGCAGAAGGGCACAAGTCGTGCTTTCGTTGTGGTTCCAAAAGACATGATGACAGGGATTCTGGAAACGCTTGACTTATCAGAAAAGCGGGCGCCGAGGTCACCCCTCCGACAAGTGTTTCTGCGGATGCGCAGCGTGGAGAAGTGCACGATGGGGGCAACTGCCCGATGGAAAAGATTAACAATGTGCTTCGCAAGTGGTACGTGCCGACCAAACACGCCGGAATGCTTCTTCCCGACGCTTAGAAGATGTTAAACTAGAACGCTCGCCAGCTTAAAACCTGGTACGAGCCGAGCGTTTCTAGGCTATGCATTTGCGCATTCATTGAGAAAGGGGGGGGGTTGGTATCAGTGTTAATCACCTGAACGGCCGGACTTTCAGTACGTGTGATTCGGACTCTTATTCTTTTCCATCAAGAAAATGCAAGTTTGCGGCGACCGGATGAATACGCACGATCACCTACAAAGATGGAACTCAAGTTTTCTCCTGTCGATTCACGTGGTGAATGGAGGTACCCTACTCCAAACAAGTGGTTCAGGCAAGCCAAGGTGGGAGGAAAATCAACAAGGAGAAGGCCACCCTATTGTTTGACTCGGGAGCTGAAGTCTCAATCATCGACACCACCTTTGCTAGTAAAATTGGCTGTGTCATAGATGAGAGTCAGAAGCAAGAATGCGTGGGTATCGGAGAAAATTCATGCACGGCAAAAGGCCGCACAAAGGTGAAGATCACGCTGAATGGCTCATTGGTTTACGACTTGGATGTATGGGTGGGTGACCAAGTGGGACAAGAAGCAATTCTAGGGATGAATCTCATGGTACCGGCTGGAATACGCCTTGACCTGGCAGACGGAACAGTGTGCTTGCCGGGCGAAGTCAGAATTAAACTGGAAGGTAGGAGATCACCGTATGGGTCGAAGATACAACGAAAGGCTGCGGATAAGAAGTATTTGGCGATACTGGTGGGTGACTCAGTGGAGGTCAATGTCGGTCGGGGACCACTGCATTCGAAATTGTGGTTAACGCGCCACGCACGTTGGGTACCCACGGCTATGACCGGACCCGGAAGACTAACGTACCTCCACCAAACCAACCGAACCGATCAAGAGGTAATTATCCAACAGGGGGCGCCGCTCGGGCAATGGATGCCGGCGGACATGATACCACGGTCACCCGGGTATGATGTGTCGGTAGGGTCACATCGTTATCAGGAGTGGCAAACACTTGCATACGAAGCTTCTACAGATAGAGATGAAGCAGAAGAAGTACCGGAAGCAGAACGACCGTTGGTCGAGCGCCAGGTTTACCCAACACCAGCGCAGATTCTATCACGACCCCCACAGGATATGGTAGAGATGACCGCAGAGAGAGATGAAGCTGAATGGGAAAACAATGTGCCGACACGTGACCAGGTAGATGACCAGGAGGATCAAGAAGAACCGCAACCCGAACGATCACCAGTAGCTATTAACACAGTCACCACACGTGATACGGGTCGTGACTTGGTTACATGATCGGCAGGAACAAACAAATAAACCCCAGAGAGAAATGTCTACGCGATAACCAACGTCCGCCGACTTGGTCAACCCTATTGATGCGATGAATTATACGACGTTAGTGGACAAGCAGTCCGAAACGCACCCACACGAGTGTGAATAGAAGATCACTCCCGAATTGATCAAGGATATGGTACCTGATCGTATGCAAAACAAGTCCCCTGATCACCAGATGGAATTACTGTTGGGGATGGGGAGGTGTATCGACCGCCCGACCATCTGGGAGAACAAGAAGCAGCGGTCACCGGCGAAGGAGAACAGGTGTGCACGTCATACCAACACGCAGGTGAAACATTATTCGCGGAAGATGTTGGCCGGCAGTCTTACCGGGGGTAAACACGACGCTATGCGAGGTGAAGATTAAGGATATACAGGTGGGCGAACCAGGGGTTCCAGTTACGAAAGAGCAAGAAGAATAACGCCAGCTGATCTAAAAGAAAAGACATCTGTTGACGGGCAAGGGAAACGCCCTCTTACCTGCGGCTCGAGGCGTGATATGTGACTGTGGTGAAGTAGTCAAAGGCAATCTTTACCAATCGCCTTGATCACCTCGTAAGGGCACGTAGGACCGGTCATGCCGGTCTTGGGACTGACCGCTACAGAAATCCCCAACGATAAGCTGGACGGTTTGCAAGTCATCAGTGGCGGTAACAGATTACGACCACCGGTTAGGGTCACGACGAATGACAGACCGGTAAGGGTAACGACGAATGACTGACCGGCCAAGGTCACGATGGGTGACCAGTGGTCATGGTCAGGATGGGTGACCAGTGGTCATGGTCACGATGGGTGACCAGTGGTCATGGCCACTGCAAGATGACCAGCGGTCATGTTGGCAGTTAAGGTGGTTTACTTCAAGCACAGGGAATGGGTGGTGGCATGCGAACAACGTAGCAGAAAACTGAGATAAAGAGAAGTGTAAACATAGACATAGTTCTAGCCCCTAATAGGTTAATAACGCTAGTGTTGATTTTCCCACTAAAGACACGCGTCAGCATTCCTCCGGGCTGGAATACTAGTAGCCACCCGACGTACAAGGTTTACTGTCTGCGTGTTTGCTCAAGGTTTGTCCCTAGATTGATTGGCTAGGACAAGTATACTCATTCAAGTTAGCCCGCGATCGGACGCGGCAAGCATACAAGGCAAGGTCTTCAGACAGCTCAAGTGATCCGAAGGACAAGGTGATCAAGTGGTCAGAAGAACAAGGGGAATCAAGTATCCACATTTGGACAAGGCGACCTCAAGGAAGGTCAGGCAACTCTAGGAGAGTGCCAACCGTAACCGTTGGTCGTGTGAAGAATTACCACGCGACCCCACCCCACCTATCCTTTACTCGGTCAAGGCACGACATCGACCTCAAGACACCTAGAAGAGTGCAACCGCCTGCCGACGGGTGCACAAGGTGAGAAGGAACAAGACAAGACAAGACAAGACACACGATCCGGAGTACACCCTCCATTAGTTGGTCGTCCGGGAGCAAGTGGGAGTCAGTATCGCTACGTAAATGAGCGAATCGCACTCCACGACATGACATGGATGTGGGAGGGGCGACCCCAATAGCACAACGAGTGAGGCCTGTCGCCCCAAAGTTCCGCACAAAACTGGCGGACCAGATCAAAGGGTTACTATCGGCGAAGAAATATGTTCCTCAACCTTGCCGTGGGCTTCGCCGATCGTAGTGATCGTAAAATAATATGAGGTAGATATACTACTATGCATACATACCGACGAGTCAACCAGTGGACGAGGCTGATGGTATATCCCATGTCCTTGATCAACGACCTACTGCAGGAACTGGCCAAAGCGCTATGGTACTGTTAATTGGATTTGGCCAGCGGATTCTGGGTTGTGAAAATGACGGAGAGGGCACGAATGATTTATGCTTTTATACGCCTTCAGGTCTTCATGAATAGCTACGTATGCCGTTCGGGTTGAGAAACGTGCCGCAGATATACCAGCGTATGGTGGATAATGCATTGTACGGGTATCTCACGATCGCCGAACAGCGGAGATCAAGTGGTCGCGAGGTGTCACAAACGGTCGACGTGTTCACGCAAGGCGAGCCGGACCCGCACCGAAAATCTTCAGTGTTAAGGCGGCGGTCCTATAGTGATGACATTCTGATCCCGGCGTCGTCCTGGACTTCCCTCCATCAAAAGGTAAACAGACTGTTGGGAGTCTGTGATCAGTGGAATTTGTCGATCAGTTTACCTAAGAGTGTGTGGGGACGACGCAAGGTCGATTTTCTCAGGCACCAGGTGTCGATTATAAGGATCAGAAGCCTACCCGAAGGATTTGGGGTCGTTGGTCCATATTCCATTTCCCCAAACATTGCAGTCAATGCAGTCTTTTTTGGGAAGCTTGAATTACTACAGCCGGTTCATTGAAGGTTTCGCCACATACGCCTCAGTCATGTATGAATTTAGAGAGGCGGACTTCCACGAGATTAGGCGGTTGGACAACTCGGAGGATGATCATGCAACAAAACAAAACCAGGATAGTGATACCCAGATCGACAATGGCCACGGCCAGAGGCTGGTGGGTAGCTGTGATAAAAAAATGACAAAGATGGATGGTCATGACCAACCGAATACAGAGGGGTCTAATGGCGAACATACAAATGGTCATCGTTGTTAAAGCTATGATCGCGTTCACAATGCTGAAAGCAGAAGTTGCCCAGACCCCGGTGCTAAGACATTTTGATCCTGATCATCGGCCAGCGATAGTGGTTTATGCCAGCAAATGAGCGGTATCCGCAGCTTTGTCGCAAGAACACGACGGAGTGAATTGGCCTGTCATGTTCACAAG